TTTGGAGCTCAGTAATCTACTGCGCTTGCCAAAGGGCAGAAGTTCAGAGAGGCTGCGGCCTGCGTGCGAGGGGCCTGTGATGATTTTCCCTGCCTGTTTGCACACTCAGGAGGAGTGCAGCTCCTGGAGGGCATTCATCCCCCTTGACAGCAGTGATCTTTTTGGCAGACATGACTGTTCATTGAAGCCTGTTCTTGTTTTTCTTTTTTTTTCTTTTTTTTTGCCGGTGTGATGGATAATCTGACAACAGATTTTCGCTGTGTCTCCGTGGCCCTGGAGTACCCCCAGGAATGGGATGTCAGTCCATTGCAGGGCACATACAGTCATGCACTAGGGGGTAATTTGGAGACGCCAGTCATCGTGACTGCATGGTGAACCGAAGGTGTGAGCAGGGGCGGATTAACGCACAGGCTAGATATGGCTTAAGCCTAGGGGCCCCACGTGTGCCAGCCTGCAAGGGGACCCCCATTGGCGCGGAGGGGGACGGGGTTGGGGGGCCCACAGACTACTGTAGCCTAGGGGCCTCTGTACACCTTAATCCGCCCCTGGGTGTGAGGCATCAGCTGTACTCACTGAGCTACTATGCTGCCCCTGAAATTTAATTTGTGATAAAATTGTTATGGATTTGTTTATGTCACCGTGTGACCCTGAACAGCGTAAGTGGTTAGGAGATCAATCGACGGATGGATAATTTAGAAAGTGTATACCTGCCTCTCAGTCAAGGTTGTCTGTAGTACTATTTTTTTTTTCCAACTGATGAACCATTATCCTTAGTTTATATAGTAGCGGAGTCTGCCTGGGTTGTGACAGTTTAATGATGTGACTGTAACCTGGTAACTGGGTGGTTTTTTGAAGGACATCATCTGCCTGTCATGTCACTGTACATCAACAGACGGAGTTCCGATTCTACTGGCTGCAGTCCAAGGTCCAGGAGAGCGAAGGCCTGTCTGAAGTCGGCAAGCGTAACCCGGTATGTCCCGTGCATCGCGGGCATGCTCTCGGCCCTGACCTCTGACCTCGCGCGGCCGGTGACGTGAATTCTGCCCGTCTCTCACTGCAGTTTCGCTTCGTGAGTCTGCAGAGCAGCGACTGCTCTGCCCAGTCCATCCGACAGGTGCTCTCAGTGGAGTACAGCTTCAAGGTGGGACTCAGATTGCCTTGGGGAAAGAGGGTGGGGTTCCGGCCTGATCTTTTGAGGGGCGGTTTTAATTCTGGCCTGATGCTGCCCCCTGCAGGTGGATGGGCTTTTGTTCTACCACCGGCACACACATTACACCCCCGGCAGTACCCCACTTGTGGGCTGGCTGCGACCCTACATGGTGCCCGACATCCTGGGCGTGGAGGTGCCCCCGAACCCCCTCGTTACCAAGCCCGATTACGCCAGCCATCAGCTGCAGCAGATCCTGGAGCATAAGAAGGTCTCCACAGAGGTGCGGCAGGCTGATCCAAACGGCCGCTACGAGCTGGAACACCTGTCGACCCCGGAGGAGCAGCCGCGGAGCGACGCCCCCGCCAACCCTCGAATGCAGAGCTGAGCTGGGGGGGCTCTGCTTCCTGTCTTTTGTCTCATTTGTGGGCACGTGAACAACCACAGCTGCTCATACCTGGGCCACACTCAGTCAAAGAGCGCTAAGGTGACATCATCACACCATTTAAGACCTCTCCATTGCTTTACAGGTCAGTCCTGTTCATACAGGTCAGTCCTGTTCATACAGGTCAGTCCTGTTCATACAGGGCGCCGTATCCTTCTCTGGACCTGCATGTAAGTGCGACAGGGTTGGAACTTAGCTGGAACTCACGTGACCGCAGTGTGTTAACACAGCTAACGCAAACTCCACCCTTGGAATGAATGGAATTTAGAAACTATGCATGTACATAGTATATTTGATATTTCTGTCTCTTGGCATTTTAAAATGTTGGATTTTATCTTCAAATTTTGTTGTTTTAAGCGTGCATACTAATGTATTAATAAAGTTTTCTTTTGTATTTTTCACCCATTACCAAGTCTAACCAGCTGGTGCATTGAGTGCTTTTTGCAGAGACGCCATCTGAGTGGTTGGACTGGAGGACTGTACTCCAGGCCTGGTAAGGGGGGGGGGGGGTGGTGTCCAGCAGCCTATTAATGCCAACGACTGCAGGCTTGAGAGAGACCACTGAATTATTTACATAGAGCACCAACCTGGTTCCGGTCAGTATGTTGACCCATTGAGGTGCTCCAGGTGCCGGAAGAAGCACATCAGAGATGGTGTGTGTGTGTCGTCAATGTTGTTGGTGTATATTAAGCCATTTGAATGTATTTGGCTATGATCAAAGGTCCTATGGGCTGTTAACAGGAAGTGCCATGACCAGCAGGAACTAGGTGCAGAGCGGGACGTTTTTGTGTACATTATTTAGGGTGTGGGTGTTGACAGAGTGCAGGGTGGCCAAAAGTCCATGCCGAAAATGCTCGGGTAGCATGTTGCGTACCGGTGGCATTGACTGTCAGCGCCCAGCTTCATGTGAGCAGGCGTAGTCTCTCTGGATGGATTGAGGCGGACATTGCTGTAGAGACGGGTTTCCGACCAGTCGGCAGCAAGATGACTCCTCAGGAAGCCGTGGCTTTTCTGTGTTTGGTGGGAAGCCGGCAGCCCTGATCCCAGAAGTAATCTGAGTAATCTATGGACTCGGAAAATGGAGATGATACTGTCAACCTGAAAGCAGCCAGAAGATGTGGCCACACACAAGGGCAATCTCAGTGACCTGCTGTCAAATATACCACACGTGGTTATACTCTAACTTTCAAGGGTGTTTTTTAAAAAAAAAAATATTATTTAAGGTTTACAAAGGTAATGGAAGCATTTTGTGTGTATAATGTGTAGGGGAGAATGACTGGGGTTCAGGGGACAGGAGGAATTAACAGCCTGTTTTTTTGGGTACCAGAGCGGGGAGGGATTTCGCAAAATGTGGGGTCAGGTCTGGCCAACCCCCATATGATGGGTAATGAGTGGGTACCCTCCTCCCTTGATGCTGCGTGGGGGTGGGGGAGGGGGAGGGGAGCGGTGCTGCCTTCACCACCTGGCTGTGGGTGAGTCTGCAGATGAGTCACCAGACACTTTCCAGGAACGGCATCAAAAGTCATGGTTCCCGGAGGGCCCTGTTTTCAAACCTCTTGCTTTCTTGTGTATGGGGGAGACCCTACTGGAAGGGCATATACCAGCACACTCCCATTGAAAAATACAAGCTCTAACATGACCTGTGCCTACCAGCACCATACGGAATCTGTCATCAGCTCTGATTTTGAAGCCAAACAACAAGAGAAGTCTTGTAGCTGGGATATAGGATGGATATGAGCATGGAGAATTGAATTGAATCAGTTAATGCAGCTGAAGACGACTCATTTTAATATCACTGTAATGTAATTAATGGTCTTTGGCACGCTGATGCTAACGTTTCACATCAGTTCAAGTGTCATTAAGGGTTTATTTGCCACATGTAAGGTTTACAGTCCGACTATAACCTGCAGAGAAGTGAAAGGCAGTCAGCTCCACCATAGTAGGAATTAGTGAAAAGCAATAAGGCATAAAGTAACAGTATATAAATAAGTAATAAATCGGGAACAATATGGTTATACTGGGAATAAAGAGAAATGAAAGGAAAACCAGATACGAGCTCCAGTAAAGTGCATGAGTAGAGTAAGAAGGGAGTGTTTAATTACAGCTGTCAGTTATGTGCTGAGTAGTCTGATGGTCTGATGCGAGTAGGTCCTTCTGAGCCACCTAGTTCTCACTGAGAGACAGAAGTAGCGCTTACCAGACCTTAGCCTGGTTAAAGAGGTAATTACCAGTGGTGGTTAGAACTGTGGACTGTCATTACATTATACTGTAAATAGTGGTTTTTCCTTCCTAACAAGCAAAAACGCATTTTGTTTTGACTGACATTATAGTGTGCGGTCATGTGACTTCCTCTGTCCACTTCCAAAATGCTGAGTGACGGCTTTCGATTTCTCACATCTCCCATCAGTAATGATTGCCCATAAAGCTGCTGCCCACTTCCCTCAGCGGTGTCAGCTCTGCTCTCCAAGGGGGCTCACTGACGCATGGTGGGGGCAAGGGGACTTTCCTCTTGCCCTAACATGAAGGGGTATATCTTCTTCCAGGAAACATGTTTGTTTCTGTTTTACTTCTATATATTCAATCCCTTTACCCTGAAAGTAAAGCAACATGCCCTGCATTTATAAAGTTCATAACGGTTGTGGGTTTTGTTTGCCTCTGATTCAGTTCAGTTTGTAACATCAAGGTTGTTGATATAGGGTGATCAGATAATCCATGTCAGGGAGGATAACTTGAGCTACTTCAGGTTTTACAAACTATTTTAAAACTGATAGGCTCCCCTGCTTGGTTAAATAATTCAATTCTTGTGCTTTGACTGGTTTGTTTCCTTGATGGAAGGACTCATCTAGCTGTTTCAAATTAACATTAGTGACACATACATGATTATAGGAGACTAACCAATCAGCATACAGCAAGAACTCTGCTTAAGTGAAATCTGGGTTCTTTTAATTGAAATGGTAGTTGACAAAACCCATCCTAGCTCGAAGTGTCCTCCCTGACATGGGTTATCTGGTCACCTTATTACTGTTGACATTTAGGTTCTCCTTCTTTACAAGTCAACATGAATAAATCTTGGTCCATCATGGCACGCCATCTTCACTGAGCAGAACACACGCCAATATCCACATCATCCGCCTTACACTGGTTCACGAGTTACGGCCAAATGGTGCTTCGTGACGTGCTTCGTGGTGTTTACGTTTCGCCATCAGCTGCCATACAGTACAGACAGGAATTTTCCCATCACCTTATGTTGTGCAATTTGTTTCACTCCCCGACATGAAATTCATTATAATTGTGAGCTTTGCCTCAGGCAGCACAATAGCCTATCCCACATGACATGCTCCGGATAATTAAAATGTACAATTTAAAAGCTACTACAGTGTTAATTCAAGAACCCGACACAGCACCTAATACATTTACATTTACTTTTATTTAGGAGTTGCTTTTGTCCAAAGCGGCATATGATTGAGTCACATTGGCCTAGCCTGTTCAATCAGGGAGGCAACCCTCCCAATGCCCCCATGCCTGAAAAAAAATGTCGTTAAAGTGCCCTTTAAAGTGGCGAAAACGCTGCCTTTGGTTGCCCTTCAACATGATTTAGCTCCATCTATAGGGTTGGCAACTTTGGTCATCTGGCTAGTTTTTCAATTTGAGACAAGTCTCTCATGCTTGCCTGTGCTTATGCACACGGATGCACATACACTTACATGTAGGCCTGTGTACATTTCTTACCTTCAAAATAGTCTGTAGGGTTCGCAAACTGCACCAATGCTTTTGAAGTAGCTAATTTTAGGTTTATAATGGAGTAATACAGATTTGCCGTAAGATTTCTAGTGCGAGATAAAGGGCTCAAAGTGTGTCATGAATGAGAGTTGGCAACCCAGCATCTCGGGATCAGCAAGGAAATGTGACGTTGAGTGCCCTTCTAGTGGAGGAAGTGGGATGCATTGCTTTGTATCGTGCCCTTCCAATGTAAAAGGGTGCTGTTATGAATTGGCCTCTCTACCACGCCTACATGACTAAGTGTCCAAATAGGTGCCTTTCTAGTGGGGCAGTCCATGTGTGACAATGTGGGGAATTGTCCTAATGGATGCCTCTCCATTGGAGAAAACGTGATGCGATGTCATATAAGGTGCCCTTACGGCTGTGTACATTTGAGGTTCCCCCTGGGTGCCTTTCGTGTAGAAATTCCTCATGAAGTGCCCTTGCAAGTCAGCAAACATGGTGTAGTGCCCCTGTGATGGAGAGAAAAATATCTTTGATGGGGGCCCTTCCAGGGAAAATGGGATATGGTGTCTCACTATAAGACGTAGTTTCCAGTAAATGGGGGAAAAGCAGATGACATGATGCACCTTCTAGCTGTTCCTATGTGTAAGATTAAAACTGATATATAGGTTGCTACTGTAGCTGACAAAACAGTGGTTGAATAATCTTAACCAGGGACTTCGCCATACATAGTGTACCACTCTACTAGTGGGGTGGGGCTGTTTTTTTTAAGCAATGCACAACCGAGAAAGCAGGGTCAGCCAGTCCCTGGAGCAACTGACCTTAAGGGTCGTGCTCAAGGGCCTAATGGTGAATTCACTCTGCCGATTATAGCATTTGAACCCGCAACCTTCCGATCAATGGCAAAATCCCAACCATCAGAACCAGTCACGCACCATCAGAAAACTTTAACATTGGAATATGAGTACTTATTTTATATTTTATTGCCGAGAAAGTGTACAAAAACTTTGGAAGGCTTGGGGAAAGCGCAGGCACGGTGACGAGATGCGGGGTGGAGGGGGCTCATTTACCGATGAAAATGGGGGTGGAGAGTAATTAACTTCAAGCATCGCCGGTGACATTCTACTCCTTAACTTATGTAAATAGAGCGACGCTGCGCGCGCGGGGGCCGCGAGCGCGTTACGGAGACTGTGACGCGCCTTCTTTTTTTTTGCGTTTTTATGAATGGAGGGGGAGCTCGCGCCGCCCGGGCTGCTAGTGTAACCAGCAGGGGGACATCGGGGGCTCAGTGAGGTCCGGTTCCCAGTGCGTGTGACGCCGGGACTCGGCAGCGCCGTACTTTTTAACTAACATACCTCTAAAATGATTAATTAGGGTCGTCGGAAGAACATGATTCTCGCCATCTCGGTCGCCGATCTCCATCGCATATAACTAAGTTAGCCTGTTTTTTAGATGCACATGCCTTTTTTTTTAATGAAGCCGAATCGTTGTAGTGATTCTCTTAATTTTGGGAAAAGTGCCCATAGCTAAAAGCCAAAATATACTAATTACTTCATAGCGCGCTGGTTGTGTGTATTTTTTTATCTGACTGGTTGACTATCGTGGCTGCCATGCACGATTACGTGATCCGTGGTTAAACGCACGCGACTGTCGATTATATCTGGTTGTGTAAAACGGCGTCTTATTACTTAAACCTTGAAGGATCTCGACTGGCCATTTGTGAGGATAACCGAATCGACAAGACAGACACGGACGTGGGGAATGGCCGCCTGTTTGTCGGCAGAGGAGGAGCAGGTAATGTGTTAAATGTGTCTTCCTGAACATGTGAAAGATCTGTCTTGCTCGCGCTAATACAGGGGAATGGACAAGAAAAAGCCGATTAAATAACACGGTAAAATATATTCGTTGCAAACACGGGGAAATATTCCTTAAAAGTTGGCATATGATTAAATAATCGCGGCATAATGTCCTCTTCATTAAGTGTTGCTTCTTGGTTTTTCAGACGTACAGGGCCGCTGATTCCTCCCACCATACGCTTATAAGCAGTGGGTTAAGGGAATATCAATAGGGAGAAAGTTTTTCTTTGCTCCAGTTGCGCTGCCCGTAACATAAAGCAAACATTTTGTACCGTGGTTTCGCAACTAAATTTCCGTTAACGAGAGAGTGGGGGAATATCTGTAAATTCAAGTAACAGTAACGAAAAAAAAGTACCTCCGCCATTTAAGGAATGTTTGGTCCCTTTAATTTCTTGGCTGGAGGGGCGATCTCATTTAACGCTTTCACTGCCGGACACGTCGTTTTCCGTCTGGCTGATGGCTAGCTGGATGGTTTGCATCAGTTTTGCTTTCGATGAGTTATCCACAGGGTCGGTATTGTACGTTAGGTATTTTCAGAGCCATTGTATCCATTAAATTTCTAATTTATTGTCCACGCTTGCGCGGGGACGAGGGCCACGTGTGGCCGTGGTGACACACCGGTCACGTGGCTGCAGGTAGTTTGTTCCGGACTGGGAGGATGCGGTTAGTGGCACAGCCGTAGTGTCCAACAGGAAGTCGTGGCCCTGCTGCCATATAATCGGAAGCAACTCTCATCTGTCAGATTGGACATTCGCAATTTTACTGCACCTATTCGGGTGCTTTGAGGCCAGGTGGACCGGACTGTCACGGCCGATCAGGTCTGATTTGACACGCATGGCGTGTCCAACTGGACCGGGTAACAAAATGCATTGAGTCGCGCTGTTTCCTCCCATAACGGTGCGATCATGTGGCGCCGTTTTAGTGTCACAGCTGCTTTCCTGTTATTTTCCAGAAGGGATCGAAGTAGGAGGTCTGAAAACGACACACTGAACTCTTGCATAGATGCTGCTGGAAAGTAATTGATGCAGTCAAAGAACATAACGTGCCATTTTGCACAAAAGCATTAACTTTGTCCTGTGCACATTTAGGAAACGGCTAGATTAAGGAGTAGCAGCGAGCTGTTTGGTGGACGTAATGAAGAAATGAAGCGGAGGTTAACGCTGGGTCACTGACGTTAACATGTTTGGCAGGAAATGTCTTGTGTTGTGACTTCCTCTGGTTGGCACCATTAATTTAGTTTGCCTGTGTGATTTGGTACTTTTTCAAATGTTACCATGGATGCAAGGATGTTTAAAAATTCTAGTCAGTAGTTATCACCCACCCAGCTGGTGAAGTTCTTTTTTTTTTATTATTATTGTGGTAACGTCTTTTTATTTTAAAATGGATTAGGACGTAACCCCCGCCCCCTTTCCCTCCCATCTGGATAGCAGCCCTGTGCTGGCACTTTGCTTCTGTTCAAGGCTGCCTCTGGTAATTGGATCATGGCCCATCTATGTCCGGAGGTTGAGTCCCCCCTACCACCCACCTAGGGACTCACCAGCACAGTAGGATGCAGTGCTCAGGAGACTCTTCGAAGCATTTACTGCATGCTAGGGACCTTTGTTTTCAAATACAAGAGGCTCCCTTGTCCAGATGCTTCTGCGGATGTTCCACTCGTAGCTTAAAATGAAGGGTTTGAAGATTATTATAGTGTGATGCCCAGGCTTTTGTCATTAATATTGTCTGAAGCTAATCCTATGTCCGTTAGTGTCCTGATTTCACATCCAGTGTTAGAATGATGTATGACACACCTTGTACATCTGTGTAAACATCGCCATAATTGAACTGGCATGCTCTGGAGCTGGGCTGACTGGCTTTAGCGTTAAGATGTTTAGCTGAGATGTGCGTTAAGTGCAGCAGCAGAGGCCTGTGCACAGGCTGCCCCGCATCCTTTAATTTCCCCCAACTTTTTCAAGAGACGGTTCTTTACAAGAACCGCCCACAGCTTCGGGTGTTATTGTCGAGCCGTGGGGCAGCACAAGAACAATGCTTTTGAATGACGAAGAGAGAAAAGAAGAAAAGGGATTTTTTTTTCACAAGAACATTATCTGTATTAATTTCCGGCTTTATCGGTAATCTCTTCATCTGGTAAAAACATGACTAGACTTTGGGGGTTTGTGTTTTCTCTCTCCCTTTTAATTGAGTCTTCATTTTAAAAAAAATTGTATTTTTTTTTTCCTTCCTCTGAGATTTGACTTCCAGGAACAGCTCTGGGTAGCAGAAGTAGGTGATTGTATCAGCATGTCATCTGTGTTTCTAATCATGCTAATGAGGTGAGATTGCAGCAAGAAGCCAAATGTAGACTCTGGGCCTCAGATTAACCTGTTATTGCAATTGCCCACATGTGCCTGCATTTATGCTGGTACCTGTATCTCTGTGTCGGTTCTTAGTATTTTAGAACTTAACTCTAAGCAAATTGGTCCTAATCTCACATTTTGCAAATATTTTGTCAAGAGGATCACATGCAAAAGAAAAATATAAAAACAGTACCAAGGAATCAAGTTATGTCAAGTCAACTGGGCTTTGACATAGCATTCATATTGAGGTATACAGCGCAACGTGCAAACAGTGGCAAAGGGAGGGTTTACACAATACTTAAAGTGCAAAACACAGTTTGAAATGGGGGGGCTGGACCCATGGGTGCACTGGGTAAGATTCAGCTCACCTGTGTATACCCACATTAAAAAATTAACCCGTGCGATTTAACATAAGCACTTGGAAGTGTTTTGGTGATTTGGGGCCTGCCCTGGACCTGCTGCAGAGGTCTGGGGGGTGCACTGTCTGTTGTGGGCAGGTTTCATAGCCAGTGTTTCATCACTTGCGGGGGAAACTGTGTATTTTTGCATCGTGGATGGAAAACCCACGCGAGGCTGAAGGGAACGGGCAGGCTTGGGTCGCGTGAAATCTGGGGCATTTACTAAACATAGCTGTCGAACAATGTATAATTTTTGTAGGAGTTCCAAATGTGGGTCATAACGTTTTAGCTGTTTTGTCGTTAAAGATTTCTGTAAATGAGATTAAGCACTCTTAGGGAAAGTAATGATTGGCACACTTCCCAGTGCAAAGGTGTTCATAATGGCATACAGCAATGGTTTATACATCTGCTTGAGATGGGTAATGATCACAAGTCACTGTTTACAAGAGGAAAATCATGGGATTTGACATCCAAAAGTGATTTTTGACTTGGAAACATAATGGCCCTGACCTTATGTCAGAATTTATGGGTGACCATCCTCTACAGTGTATCCAATTTGGTTTTTCTGTCAGTTGAAAGATTTTTGTTTTAATTCTCAGATTGAGAACTTTAGTCTCTTCTACTACTGAACTCTCATGACATGACTGTGGACCTTGGCATCTTCTCTTAAGGGAGGAAAACAAACATTGTGTGATGCATGAAGGACTGGAAAGACACAATCTCCTGTTTCTGGTGGAAAAAGCTTTGATTCCTGGAGCAGGAGATGACATCAGAGATAAATGGAACCACAAAAGTGACATAATCACCTCAGTGGAGGTACCAGGGTTCACGGTTTGTTGGCAAAGCTGCCTTTCTCAGAAAGAGCTTTTTTTTTTTTTTTAGGTAAAATAATATTTTTTTTGTATGTATGTGTGTATGTATATGTGTATGTATGTATATGCGTGTGTGTGTATGTATGTATATATGTATATATATATATAAAATCTAGACTGATTTCACATTTTTTAAATAATGATGAGTGGAGTAATGTTTTATGTTTTGTGTTGCTGGAACTTTTGGATCCCCTTTAAAACAATGAATGACGAAGTTTGGCTATTTGTTCTAAATGCTCAGTAGTTCAATTTAATTGTGCCTTTTTTCTTTTATGGTTGTGTCGGTAAGACAAATTTTTTTGGTGGTGAAGATTGGATCTTTTGGAAGACATAGTGACACTGTTGTTGGGAATAGAATCCCTTGCTCAATGGCAGTCACTTAAGTGGTATTCATAAGTTTAACATGCAAACTGAACCTTTAAGGTTCCAGCTGGTAGAGTTAGGAGACCAAGTAGGTTTAAGGATAGATGACCTCTACCCAAACCCTAAAATTGCATCCAAATATCCTTCCATTTCTCAGAACGTCTCCTCATTTGAAGGATGTGACAGATGTAATACATGCTTGCTTAATCTCTTGATTTAATGAAAATCTAGTTTTATAATGTGCAGTTCTGCCGAGTCATGAAGCAGATATGTTTATTTTGGATAAGAGTGTAGGGGAGGTTTTTCCTGATTTAAAACTTACAACAAGCTTATCTGAAGTAGGTTTTTCTTTTTAAACCACTAGATGGTCCATTGCACCTCACCTGAAATGGGATTCCCACGATTATACCCAGAAGCCTGGAAATATCTATTAAACTGCACAGTTTATGAATCTCTCTTAATTGCGTAACCTATTTACTTATTACTTCTGTTTTTACAAACATCTTTTATTTTATTATTTTAACATGTTTTTAAACCTACACAATTCCTGTCCTTGGGTTGTTTATCACATTGCCCATTGGAGCTCATTTATTTTATAGTATGTGTACATTTGAGGACTGGTTGCTAACGGTCTTTTAGAAGCAGTAATATTTTGAGACTTGTGTTTATGAATTAATTTGAAACGATCATATATCATTTAAACCGAGGTAGCACATGTTGCTGCTTGTTGATATTACTTATAAATCATGAAGACCCAAATTGTGATGCGATTGTGTTGATGTACACTGACAAGGCAACTACAGTCTTAAGCAGAAGTGTGTTTTTATGCTTGCTGTTGGGCCTCTTCTCTGTAATTCTTAATCGGTCTTTAAAAAGTTGTGCCAGTAATCAGCTTGTTAAAAGGAATTCACTACGCTTTTCAGCTTGGCCGACAGAATCACCTTGGATTTCAGAAGAAGTTCCTTCTTCCCCTTCTACACTGATAGACCATCTCAGTATTCGTTCTGCAATTTAGTCTTTGTTCCTATTTCATGGCTTTCTTGAATGATACAGTGAAGAGTGTTTGCTTCCTAAAGTCTGCGAGGAGCACGTTCTCCATCTGTTTCAGTCCAGGTGGCGTTTTTTCTGTAGTTATTTGGAGGAAGCGTGCTCGTGATCCTCTTAAACTCCCCTTGAACACTGACACTTTAATTGCTGCTGATGCTGTCTTCCCGAGGCGCCGGGTTTCATCTTCAGCTGGCTCCTGTTCAGTGTCTCCGGTTCAGGAGGCAGTGCGGGACAGGCATCATGGAAACCAGGCAATTTAGGCCACCGCTTTGTTCCTAAATTCTGGCTAACTGCAGATTTAAAGGGAGCAGGAAGTGAGGACTAACCTAAGCCTGACCCCCCCCCCCCCACACACACACACGCACACACACACACACACACACACACACACGCAGTTTAATAACTATTAGACAAACACCCACGGCCATTTTGCAGTGTAGGCTCACCAATCCTTCCCCACATCCTGCTTCGATCCGACCTGCCGCTTGCATACAGCAGACACTGCAGAGCCGTGATGCAGGGGAGTCAGAGGGCAAGGCCTCCTTTCCGCTTGTCGGCACCATCCTCATGTACAGGGCGCTGTCTGGCTAATAATATACTCTGTGATGGTGGTTTAGAGACACCCGTAAAGTATTTCTGTGTGTGAGGCAGCCTGTTCAAGGCCAGCGCTCCCCCCGGCCACCATGGTGATGTAACACTGCGGGGGCCAAGGACACTTTCGCTGAGAGCATCCTCTGTCAGTTTCAGCTAATGGATCCCATTTCAGTCTGCTTCCTGTATGAATGATTGATCATTTTAGCTATGAATGAAATGTCAAATCTTCTGTACTTGGGCACTGGTAGAGAGTAATATCGGGGAAGTGTGTACCAATATCCATTGAGACATTTTGGAGCCGTAGTAGATGCCTCCTGGGCAGCTACCCGGAGAGGTTTTCCATGTATGTCCTACAGGGAGGAGGCCCTGGGGCAGACCCAGGACTCGCTGGAGGGATTATCTCTCTCGGCTGGCCTGGGAACGCCTCGGCGTCCTCCCCGAGGAGCTGGTAGAGGTAGCTGGGGAGAGAAAGGTCTGGGTATCTCTACTGTAGCTGCTACCCCCGCGACCCGAACCCCGGACTAGCGGAGGGTGATGGATGGATGGTAGATAAGTCGTGAGGAAAAAATTTTGTGAACCCATTGGAATTTTCTGGATTTCTAGATGAATTAATAAGAATTGTGACACTTCATTAGAATATTCTCTCTTCACCAACCCCATCTTGCTCTATGACACTCAGACACACTTGTAGGTGAGAGGGAGCTTGGCAGTGAAGGTCAGCCACCTGCAGCGGCGTCCATGGAGCTGGGGGTTAAGGGCCTCACTCAAGAGCCCACACTCCCACAGACATGGCTATTCTGCCGAATTGACGTGATCTGTTCTTCAAAATAAAGATTGTCTTATTTAATGATAACCCACAAAATATTTAATACATCCATGTCTTTATTCACAAATGGTCTAAACTGAGAGTTCTCAGTGTCGTACGTGAAGTGCCCCCAGGTGGTCAGTCAGACCATGGTAATTTGTGGTGGGCGCTGGAAAAAAAAATACAAACCCAAATCACTGTGAAATAACATCATGTAACACATTTCTGAATCATTTTCAAGGTGATTACGACTTCTCACATTCCCTGTTATGACGTGTTTGGGCAGGTTAACAGAGCCTGCTCAATACTGCATGCGGCACTTTTTTTTTCCTGCACTTGGAGGTGACTGCAGTAATACCTGGCATCGCAAAACTTTCCATGCCAAACAGGCTCACCCCTCTCACTGAATTAAGTTGTTGTTTTTTTTGTGTGTGTAAACCCAGCTTACTTTGATTTTCTTTTTTAACCTTCCCAACTTGGGAGGGCAGTGATTCCCTCTGATTTATAAATGACCTTCCTGATCTGTAGAGTGATGGAGGCTCAGGTCTTTAGAAATCCTCTTGTAACCCTTTCCAGCCACAAGAGCTTTGAGGAGTCTTCTCAGGTCTATATGACACCTGAGTATAATTGTGAAGAACGTGTGTGTGTGTGTGTGTGTGTGTGTGTGTGTGTGTGTGTTCATCTACATATGGCCATGCAGGTCAAAGCCACGCCTGAATTGCTTTGGAACACTTGATATATTTAATGTACACATACATTTTGTATGTGGCATATTTTGAAAGCAGAAGGCCTCTTGCATATAAGTAGCAACTGACTTTCCAAATTTCTAAATCTTTCTAAATTCTTCTAAAGTTTTCTGCAGTGATGGTACACCCACAGTTATAAAAAAAAAAAACAGGTTATTTTATTGGCTTAAATAGCTGAAATATCTGGGCAGAGATACACTAAACAGTTTGTTCCTGTTTAAGTGAAGTCTCCAGACCTAGAGGATGTGGGAATGTGCTGCAGTCAGGACTTCTCTACATTTCTGTTTAGTTATCATTTGATGTACGCCACGATGCATCAGAATGAGGGATGTTTAACGTAAATCCGGTTAACCTTTAGCTCAAAATGGCTTCCACTGTGTTAAACAAACCACCATGCCCCAGAACATTCTACTCTGTAATGAGAAGCTTGTCTCACCTACAAAAGGACACTCCATGTAGTGCAAGCATGGAGAACCATGTCCCAGCTTCAGAAGGTATAGGTTTCCACAAAGCCTATTGCATTTGTGATCATCGAAGGCTTGTGACCTGTCACACAAGATGGAGAGTGCAGACTGTGAATTTGTCTGGTCATTTTGGGATTGGAGTGGGGGGAGGTGGTGTTTGCTGCCAGGAGACCCTGGGGCCGGGAGCAGTGACGTGCGAGGCTTCCGGAGCAGCCTGGAAGCTTCGCACGCTGTCCTTCCACGCAGCGCCCTTTTAAATCTGTCGTGACGGCGAAGAGCTGGCAGGCGTTTCGGAGTTTAGCAGCTTCAGTTAAATTCAAGGATCGAAAACCTTTACTCTCATTTGTACAAGTTCAATGAAACTTGCTTCCATACCTCCCTGCAGACATTGCATAATAATAAGGAGCAATAAACAGCAATGATGAGTGATCAATTGCATACAATATATACAATATACAAGCAAAGCACAGTAAAATACAAGTAAACAAGGTGCCAAAGTTTAAAGTGGCAGTGATTTAAAAATAATAAGAATCTATTCCTGAATTTTGAAGTCTAAGTCGTGATGGATCTGTACAGTAGCTCCTTCGGGGGGGGGGGGGAGAGAAAAGTGACTCTGCCAGATGGATGGGGTCTTTCATTTAAATATAAAGACCAGCCTTGGACAATAAGCATCTTGTGTTGGTGGATTTTGCTATTTTAAGAGTGAATGTTTCTGCTCTTTGTTTCGTGAGGGAAAGTTCTTCTGGGATGAACCCCAAAGCTGGTGTATGCCAGTGATCCAGAAGCGTTAACCATGCCGTTCATATACAGACCTCCTGATCTCTCCATGTACTTTTTTTTACCACATTGTTACAATCATGATGTCTCCTTTGCATCCCATCTGTTTTTATAACTGAAAACCAGCCCAGGATATTTATTGTGGTGGTTCCCCCCCCCCCCTGCTTCCTCAGGCCACAAAGCAGTTTCTGGAGGAGATCAATAAGTGGACCACACAGCATGGGGTCTCTCCCTTGTCCTGGAATGTGGCTGTCAAGTTCCTCATGGCTCGAAAATTTGACGTCCTCCGAGCCATCGAGCTCTTCCACAGCTATAGGGTGAGTATGTGAGTGGAAGTAGATGTTCATTGCCGAAATAATGTCCCAGTTCCTGGAAAACCAATGATATGTACTATTCAAAAGCTATATTCCAAAGGTTTCTTGAAGATCACCTTTTCTTCTATTTACAGAAATAGTATGTTAATTATCTCCCTTTTCGGATAATATTACTGCTGGTTAGTGTGTAAGTGGGAGGGCTGATGCAGCCTGCTGGCTTCTGCGAAATGCGTCACATTGCACTGGGATCGCTGCCTTATCACTCTGACCATGCGAGCGCTGGTTCCTGTTCTGCATTCTTCTCACATGCCTGGGAACCCGGCCCTATGCTCTGAGCAGCAAAGGAAGTGATCTCAGCGGAGAAACTGGAGAGCCTGGTGGCAGGCTGGCAGATCCATGCGATCGCCATGCAGCATGAGAGCTAGCGGCTTAGCGGACGTTAGCTTAGCATCCCTTACTGCTGGATTAGTAGTTCGCATCACAGCTGTTAGCTTAGCACATGCTACTATAGCATTATTTTTTATTATTTAGCAGATGCCGAAGACCCACCTGTTTGCACAGTTCCATAAATGTGTTACGTAAGTTTTGTATTTGCTGCTCTATGCTCTGAAGTAAACACATTTTTTGTTGTGCTTGCATACCGGTAAGCAAATCTTTCCCCAGACAGTGCAGTCAGCACTTATGTTCTATTTCTCTTCTGTACTGATAGTTTAAAATTTTTCTGTCTTGATGGAACCACAGCCCCTGTTCTCCCTTATGTGGACTCATTAGATTTACAACTTACATGACTCACAGCAGTGCTGAATCTGCTTCAGCCACTGTGGAATCTGTGTTGGCAAGATTCTGGACCAATACTCATAACCAGATTCCTGCCATAGAGCTGCTCACTTACTGCGGTGGGGCTCGTACATCACCAGAACATAGACATTGCCCTCAGTCTCAGTGCACTTGCTTTAAAGGTTACTCAGAATTTGTTTGATGTCCCTTTTGCGGATGGTTTGAAGATGATTTCTATCAAGTAAAGTCTTTGACTCTGCATGGTAAGGCAACGTGCCCATGCTAAGAAGGATATTGGTTCAAATCCCGTGGCTGGAGGAGTGATCATGTCACTGTTGGACGTTAAACCTGAAAACTGCTCTAGGGTAATTAGAGCTGTGTTTCCCAACTTGCAGATCACATGTTTGCTCCCTTCCCAGCTCCCTGACAGACAGTTCACATTTTTGCTCCCTCCAACACTCAGTAATATGTGGATTGTCAGTGTTTCCCTCAGGATCGGATTGGGAAACACTCAAATGGAGGCCTGACCCTCTGCCCCAAGCTTTGTTCTCACCTGTGCATGTGTGAGCTGTTGGAGAACAAGATGTGAAAACTAAAGCCTTCCTATGCACCTGTGCTCATCGTATTCATAACCCACTGTAGGGGAAGCCTGACCAGATGCTTAAATAGTAGGGCAATGGAGTAATCTACTGATTTTATTCTGACGACCCATTGAGTAATTGTTTATAATGTATAATACATTGCATTTGATGTAAGGCAAGAACAAACCAACCATTGCAGGGTCCCACATACCAATTTAAGGCAGTCTAATTCATTTACGTTACATGTTTCTGGACAGTGGAAACTGGAGACGGCACACAGGGTGAACATGTAACCCCACATACACAAAGCGGCAGTGTGCAGTGACAGCACCCCACACTGCACCACTGTGCTGCCCTGCTAGGCTTGATATGAATGCATATGATCATGCACATGCAATTGTCACGTGACAAGGACTGCGATAATTTGCTGGTATTGCTGACATAGGAAACAAAATTTAGCAAGCTTGGAAATTTTAAGAATGGTTCCTTTTCAAAAATATCTAGCGTATGTTTAGAAAAGAAATGTCTAAAGTTTACCGCTTTTGCATGAGCTCTCTGAGACTCATAATCATTCTCGTCCTTGCTGTTTGACTCACTCATACATCATCTGGCTCGTTTGTGAGAAATTTAAACATAAACGAGCGAAGAGGAGAAAGGCAAACAAGAACCTGTGATGGAAAGACATTTGTCTTCTGCTGTATGGAAATATTTTGTATTTCGTAGAGAGGATACTGAGCAAAAGCAAATGATTTCTCAGCACTGCTTTGTGTCTGCTGGAACACCAGCAATATCACCAACTTAATTGACAGACTTTGATAGGTAGATAAGTTCCTTTGGCTGTATAGTTAATTTTCAACTCAAATATCATTCAGCCCTATTCACAATATGTTCACAAAAAATAATTTTATGTTTAATATGTACCGTATTATGTAAGATAATACAGCTAAGTGACAGGGCTAACTTTTGTTGTAACATTGATTATTTAGCCATAGAGGAAGTATAAAGTAAATTATACAAAATGATATAAAGTCAAAGTGATGACAGAGACAGGGTAGGGTACTCCGAAAAGCTAAAGGGCGCATATCTATGGCTAACTCTGCCTTATGGGGTGACTCGGTCAAACCCGAAAGTCGTCTTCAAGATGAATATCACCACAGCAGGCCTGCAATGCAAATACAAGTTCTGCTCTATAATACTGACCGATAACTGCATTCTCATTCACCTTTAATGCAAAGTGCTTCCAAACAACTGATGCTATCACTCTTTATTTGGACCCTCATCCACTATGTTCTGTCTTCCGTCATATTGCCAAGTACTCGAGAAGGAAAATTTGAACCACTGCTTTTTAATAATCAAGTAATTGTGACAGCTTTATGAAATGGCTGTCCTAGTGCAGAGCGATGGTGATCCAGATGTGGCCTGTTTAAGGTGGTTCACTTCAGCACAGAAGCTGCTTAATAGCAGCCTCTTCCACATTTCCAGATGCATCCTTAAACTTCAGCTGAAAATGGGCATGGAAGTTGGCAAAGTGATACCCCCCCCCCCGACCCCGGGCACTGGTAACCCGTGGAGCTTAGTGCGAGCTCTCGCAGGCCTCTTCGTCCCTGTCGCGGCAAGGTGAAGTGGCTCGTGTTACGTATCACGTTACATAATCGCTTGTCGGTGGCTTTCAGCCGAAACTTTCGGTCGGGAGGGTGGCTCCGGTGAATCCGGCCGAAGGTGATGGTGGCGACACTGTAAGCCGAAGCCCGTAGGGGCGACACCGGCCGTCCTTTCAGGCTGTGCGCAGTAAGGCCTGTGCTTATTTTCCTGTATGTGCACGTTCCAGGAGACTCGTCTCAAGGAGGGCATCATCAAGCTGCAGCCCCAGGAGGAGCCTCTGAGATCCGAGCTGTTGAGTGGGAAGTTCACTGTGCTGGTGAGTGTGGGATGGGGAGGGGTACACACAGGCTGGGGCAAAAAAAAACATACATCACAACACGCAGTGATGCGGCTTCCCAGCTCTGGGTGTTGTCACGGCAACCAGCAGAGTCTCATCTTCATCTCTGGCATCTGCCCTGCTGTCGTCATGGGCTGTGGGGATGCCTGGGGATCGGTCGCAGGAATTTAGGGAGGGGCGTAAAGCTTCAAGGCGATGAGCCGAACGGCACTGTGTGCTCCGTAGCCCGATCTCACCAAGCCCCCCCATGGTGACGCTGACACACACAAAGCAGTCTCACACGGTTCATCAGCCAACCTCACATCCGGTCAAAAGTATTTTTAGCTGTGAGTTAAGAGGGGAAACAGCCTGACTCTGTTCCCACACAAGCAAAGTGACCCTGGTAAACATTTGAAATTCGGCTACTGAAGCTTATCGCACTCATGCTGGTTTTTGGAAGGGCGGGGGGGCTCTCTCTCTCTCTCTCTCTCTCTCTCTCTCTCTCTCTCTCTCTCTTTTTTTTTTTTTTTTTTCCTGCATGTTTTGGTTACTGTTGCTTAGCAAAGTGGGATGTGAAACGCCAGTATTGCTGGCTTGGTCAGCTTGCTGACCGCAGGAAACCTATTCGCCGATTCCTCTGAATCCCGGTGCCCCACGACATTTTATCGTGACTGACTGCCTGTAATGTCTCTCTCAGCATTTTAACAGCTGGATCTCCTGAAATGCTGTGTAATGGCGCCTATATCTCTCTTCTCTTGAAACTCATGAAATTGAGGCTTGAATCCGCCTTCCCTTCTGCCTGCTGCCTCTCCCTTTTTTGTTTTGTTTGCTCTGGGCTCCCCCGTGTGGACAGTATTGGAATGGCATGTTCTCCCTTTTCGAGTCCTAAGCAATTTCAAGATACCTGGGCAAAATCCACAAAGCAAAATGTGTAATTAAATACACCAGCAGTGCGGCGGTCTTGAAAAACTAGGGCTAGTGGTGGTTGTAGGAGTTACACTGTACGAGTACTAGAGTAATATTTTGTGTTTTGCTGTTAAAGGAATGAAAGAAAAGCAGGCCTTTTGCCTACTAATAGGTTTTTTGAGCCTCTGTTTGAAACAAAATTTAAGATTAACTTGTTTGTCTAATAACATCGAATACCTCAGTTACGATATGGGGACCTCTGAGGAAACTCCATCTTCCCCCTACTTTCAGGACGCCCGTGACCCAGCCGGGGCCTCCATCGCCCTCTACACTGCCAAGCTGCACCACCCCAACAAGTTGGGAAACCATGTGGTCCTGCAGGCCCTCTTCTACCTGCTGGACCGGGCTGTGGAGAGGTACGCCACTGGGGGGGCGCTGTACTTCTTCCCTTAGTCTCACCTGTGTAGTTACAAGCTGCTTGATTGCTGGCCCACCCACAGATGTCGGGGGTCCGTTTCTGAAAGTGGCACCTTCATTGGGTCCTCGCTCTCTTCTTGATTTTCTCAGTTATGAGACGCAGAGAAATGGCCTTGTGTTCATCTACGACATGGCTGGCTCTAGCTACACCAACTTCGAGCTGGACCTCAGCAAGAAGATACTGAATCTCCTCAAGGTTCGGGATATGCCTACGACATCACTCACCTAACACTGGATGGTTTCCTCCAAAAGCTCTGTGATGGCGTTAATCTCATTTTTAATATCAACTGCTGTCACCTGTAATTAAGGAATTGCAAATAACGATTTGAAATCACTTTTGTTTTGAAGACACAAGATCGTTGTGTATATGACGTGTACACTTTTCAGACGGGATCTTCTTTGGATGTCTGTGAGCTCAGACGCGACACGTCATCAGAGCATCATTAGGCTAGTCTATGCACACCGGTGTGTCTTTCTCCTGCTTTCCTGCAGGGGGCGTTCCCAGCCAGGCTGAAGAAGGTGTTCATCGTGGGAGCACCGGTGTGGTTCCGTGTGCCATACAACCTGCTGAGCCTGCTGCTGAAGGAGAAGCTGAGAGAGAGGGTGGGTGGGTGGGATGGGAAATAGGAGGCCTGGCCTGGGTGGGGGGTGGGGGACAGCCCCCTTAATCACACCTATGCCCATATTTGTAAACGTCTCATAGTAGGAAAACACTCATAAGTTCCCCAAAAGGCTTAAAGGGACGACGATTTTGGTCCTCACTTTAAGAGTAGCACTACCGGCTTGAGCAGGATTTAGGAGAACTCCAGACCTGTGCTAAGCCACTAGAAGCTGCCAGACAATGGCCTTCAGGTGGAGATCAGCACGCACATTCCAGCGAATGGCAGACAACACAGAGCTTATAAAATATCGGGTTGACAGAGATGGAATATTGTTTGTTACAAATATAATGACGTAATCTACAAGGAGGAATCTTGCACGGTCTGACGAAATTAAAGTTCACCATTGTTTATTATTATTTGTGCAACACCAGAGAACTACAAAATGTCACCATGATTTCATAAGAGAACTACAAAATGCTGCCATTAAAGCCATTTGCTCACTCTGGGTGTTGCGAGATCATCGCGTCACTTTTTCTCTCAAACGTGACGACCTCCTCCTAACTGAGAGTGGGCATAGGAAGCTCTTTACTTCTCACGTCCTACGCTGAGGCAGGACAAACCCTAGTGAGAGTCTTGGCACGATTCCTAGGATTGATTCTGAGATGCTTTATAAATACAGGCGCTGGTTCTTGTAAAGGTTTAGGGTATAATCTTTTTACTTTTTTATTCCTGTTTTCTAATTAAGATGCTCTCTATTGATGAATCCAAAAACAGGGTGAAACTGCAGTTTGACTTATTTGCCATATCCCTACTGGGATCAGCAATTGTAATAGTGTTCTCCTCACCAATGGCATCTTTAAGCTCTGTTTACGCTGCTCCAGCCACCTAGACCTGTGTGTGTGTGTGTGTGTGTGTGTGTGTGTGTGTGTGTGTACGTATGTACATACAGTCTCTGCGCTGTGTGCAAACTGCTTGCCCTTTTCTGCTTCTCTCCTGCTGTCAGGCAGATCCATTTCACTCGCTTTCAGGTTAGATTTCCATTATAGTGCCATCAAAAGGCTGCTCATGTCTGTCCACATGTTGTTTGGACCCCTGGGAAGTCATTGCATGAAAGGGATTGGTTGTTGTATTGTTGTATTTCATTCCTCCTGATGGCAAAATCATTTAGGCTGCAGGATAAACCTGTATCGATAGACTCAACTTTTTTCAGCTATATGTTGGCAAACAGCATTCAAAGGCATCATCCAGGATGTCCTGTTGTACATTTCCTGCACTGTTCTGTGAGCGAGTCTGGGACATCTCTGAATGAAATCTATACCTCCAATCCCCAAAAGAAGGGGGGAAAACAGCTGTACTCCAGCTAGGAAGTTGATTAATGGCCATGATACAATTTTGACCTAGTTTTGCAGTTGTTTCCGTTAGCGAAGACCTGCTTAAAGTGGTTGTTTTGTTAACATTCAAAGCAGCTTTGCATACATAACTATATATTCGAGGTAGATTTCCTTACATAAAGGAACAGCAGCAGAATCGGACCCAACGTAGTCAGATTCTGGATACGCTTCAGTTTGCTTTATCACTGAGCCGTCTGCCTCCCCTTAACCTGAACCGTTCTCATCGTCTCCCTTTGACTCTCTGCAGGTCCAAATGGTAAAGATGGCCGACCTCAGGCAGCACCTACCTCAGGATTGCCTGCCCCAACACTTGGGCGGCTTGCTGGTCCTGGACGCATGTGGCTGGAACCGGCAGCTGCTGGCAGGCCAGAACGGCTGCGTGGACCCGGTGGACGAGCTGGTGGGCTTGCCCCCACGCAACGTCTCCATCCACACCCCTGGCTCTGATGCCATGAACCTGGCCGAACTGGCAGCTCACGTGGCCCGGGTTCAACGCGTTGGCATCTACCAGGAGTACAAGGACATCCGAAAGGAGATGCCATCTGGAACCTTCCACTGTGCCATGTGAGTGGACGTGTTAACCGCTAAGACCTCAGACAGCATCTCTGGGTTTAACAAATGGTCGTGTGGTGTGATCACGTGTGCAGTTATATTAGACTTAATGGATTGAAGAGCTGAAGGTGAATGGTTACAAACCACTGGTTTAGCAGCCGAGTTCATTCTCAGTGCAGCCAAACGCTTTTGTCCATGCAGGACTCCTGTGAACCAGGAGAGGAACCGTTATGGGGATGTCCTGTGTCTTGACCAATCCCGAGTCCACTTGAAGCCAAGGATGGGAGAGGTACGTCTCACCCAAACTAAGAAAGATTCACAGTAGGAGTTAAGAATTGTTTCTGGGGAATGAATTTGCATTTTATTCACCCTTGACCTCTTGAGAGAGAAACCTACAAAGCTGCGCAGACACGGCATGGACAGCTTTGTAAATTTAAACAGGCTGCGCTGTGTTGTCCAGCACAATCTTATCCGCATTTTCCAGTCACGTGACCCTTTTTACTGGAGAATCAGTATGACGGCCTCAATGCTCAGGCAGTTTTCCCCTTGGAGTCCGGGAACAGAATGAAGTTTTGGAACGGCCCCCCCGTTTTCACCTTTGCTCTTTGTTTGCTCAGCAGTCTTGCTGTTTGTTCAGTCCTGTTCCCTTATTATATTCGTCAGCCGCAGCAAACTAGCAATTGGAAAAGCTGTCTGTGTAGCTACTGTGGTAACCAGCTGTGTTTCCCCACCCCCCCCCCTCAGATTTCTGACTACATTAATGCCAGCTTTATAGACGGATACAAGCAGAAAAATGCCTACATCGGCACTCAAGGTACGAAGACCTGCAGTCATTAAATGCAGCATCCTTCAGGGTCCAGCCTTCCCTAAACTCTGCTGGAGTCTTGGTGCTTTTATTTGGAACCAGGGGAATAGTGCCTCAAAACATTAAATCAAAACATTATGACCTCCCCCACAAGAAGTGAATAATGTTGATTGTCTAGTGACGGTGGTGCATGTCAAGGTCTGGGATATATTTGATGGTAAGTTAACATTTGGTACTCATAGTTGACATGATGAATGCAGAAGAAATGGGCTGGGATAAAGATCTAAGTGACTGACAATGACCAAGTCATTATAGCCAGATCGCTGGGTCAGAGCATCTCCAAAACGGCAAGGCTTGTGGGCCGCTTATGATCAGCTATGGTGAGACCCTACTGAGAGCAGTCTGAGGAGGGAAAAACCATGAACCGCCGTCAGGTATTTGGTGGCTATGACTAGACACGGAATATAAATGAAGGCTATCCCATCTACTACAAACCAACAAAAGTGCTACTGTGGCACAAATGGCAGATAATTTTGATGATGGTTATAGGACTAATGTGTCACAGCACACAGTGCGTCGGGCCCTGCTGCGTATGAGTGTCAGATTGCCCATGCTGACCCCAGCACAGCGTCGAAAGCGCCCACGATGGGCACGCGAGCATCCGAACTAGATCTTGAGACATCGGAAGGTCGCCCGTTCCGATGAATCCCGTTTTCTGTCGCATCAAGTGGGGATGCGGGTACGTGTCGAGCACCTGTGGGAAGCGCTGGACCGGCAAGTGAAATCCACCGCTGCATAGCCCATGCACAGCGGAGTCTCCATGCACTGTGTGTAGTGCCGCATTATTCCCATGACCATTATCAAAATTATCTGCCATTTGTGGCACCGTAGCCCTTCAGTAGGTGCTCACCATGACTTACTGTGAGCACTCCACGAGCCTTGACGTTTCAGATATGCTCTGACCTGCACTGACCATAATCATTTGGCCCTTATCAAAGCCACTCAGATCTTTATCCCTGGCCATTTCTCCCGCATTCAATATGTCTACTGTGAATGTTAGCTTGCCAACTACTATATCCCAGAACGTTTTTACTGGAAGCCAAATACTACTGGTCATAATGCTTTGGTTCATTGGTGTAAAGCCTGTTCCTAGGGGAAATATATAGTCTAATTCAATAACGTGTATATCTGTATTTTGGTTATCCTTGTAACTTAAACAGCATTTCAGGGATTCTTGAGGAAAATAACTGCTGTTGCCCATTTCTGCAGGACCTTTGGAGAAAACTTACAGCCATTTCTGGAGGATGGTCTGGGAGCAGAATGTTCTGGTCATGGTTATGACGACAAGGTACCATTCCTCTGGGCTTTACCAAATTCCAGTCAGAACATTCCTCATAGGGGTCCTCTAGGTCACTGACCTTCAAAGTTAGCACTTTGACCACATCCAGATGCTCTGTGACAGGTCCACCTGAACATTAACAGCCATCTAAGGTTCCGTGTGTAAGGTTATTGTTTCTACATGTTAGTAAGGTCATAAATGGGTCAGTATTAACACATGACACAGTACTAGATGTTTGCTGGATGGGTTAATACTTATCTTAGTTCGAAATAAACATGGAAGTAACTTTTAAAAGGTACTGAGAGCGCTTGCTAAGAGGGGGTGGGGCTTCTGTGTTCCGGGTCCACAGAACAGAAGAGGGGGGGCGCCATAAGTGCGGTCAGTATTGGCCACCAGAAGAGGGGGGCCAGGAGGTCTATGGCCATATCGCCGTCGTAAACCAGCGAGTGGACCGGCATTCCCACTACAATCAGACCACGCTGGAGCTGCACAACACCGAGGTAGGGGCTAGCCGCCAGAAGCACTCTGCTGCCATATTGAGTGACTGCAAGGCTGATGGCAACGTGTTGAGTGCCACCCAGTGGATGGGAGGTGCTGGTACACCTGACATTTATAGGATGTTTTGAGGCAACTGGTTTTTTAAATGAATATAAGAGTGTATCAGGGTGGCATGATGAGCCACACTATAGCCTCAGATCCTCCAGGTCCTTCCTGGTTAAGTGAATTAGCACATCTAAAATGTCCATAGTATGTGACTACAGTCGAACCTCGTTACAACGTACCCCGTTTATAACGTTTACACCAATACAACGTTCAAATTTCGATGTCCCGAATTCGCGTAATGCATTATTCCATTTGCCGGTATCGCTTAGAACGTACACCTTTACACTGTAAAGTTCGATATAACGTATGATTTTCAGAGGAAAATAGGCAAACTGACCTTTGTTACAACGTACAGCCTCATCTTCCGAGCGCGCGCACAATTCAGAATCGGCTGTTGCCGGCCATCTACATCGCTTAGCAACGCCTAACTGTATGAACTTATCCTCACGAAGCATTCCACGCCGGCCGGACTCCTTGCATGCAGCCCCCGTTTTTTCATGGTTTTGCATGGTGTCATGCTGCCGCATATCAAGCAAGATGCCTGCTAAAAGGAAACTGATTTCGCTGACCGACAAGGTGGAAATAATTCAGAATTATACATGGCAGCCTTATACTGCCGACGTGAACTAAGTTCTGAAACTGTGTGGTTATTGGGGTAATTGTGTGACATATAGTGAAAGAAATTAACAAAAGACCGATGTCTAACACACGTATCTAAATTTATTTCAGCCAATTGAATCATACAGGTGCATAATTTCGGTTTGATATTAGGTTACAGTAAGGCGATTTGAACGATAGGCCGGCAGTGGATTTTGCGTTATGTCGGCTGTCTATGAGTAACTGATATTAACCTAGTTTGAAGAATATAGTTCCTATTCAGAATAGGAACTATATTCTTCAAACTACACAAGCTGTATGTCATAGTGTCAACTTGAGGGGTGTTTTATAAAAGTTTTTTTTTATATATACATTTTGTGTTCTATCATTCATTTTGAGGGACTTGGTTACAATGTACTATGGTTATAATGTACGAATTCTTAATGTCCCCCGAGGTACGATGTAACGAAGTTTGACTGTATATACCTTTTGATGGACTTGCATCCCATCCATTGTATTCCCAGCCTAATCCCTGTACTGACTGGGACAGACTCGCACAACCCAGTACTGGACAACTGTAGACCAGGATTGTACTAGTAGAATACTACCTTCCTACTGATATCTGAGCTGAACCTGCATGGTTAGCATGCCCAAGAAAGGCAGACAGCCAGTTGACCCCAGAGGTTTTTGCTCTTTCTGTTGCAGCCAAAGGTGCATGTATTCCTCTCCTCTGGCCTCTTTCTGCTTGTCCAGCATGCAGTGCATGTTTGTAGATCTCTGTCTAAAGCTCTCTGAGACAACTATTTTAGAAAATGAGCTTTATTAAAATAAGCTGAATTGAACCAAGCAGTTATGGAAAATATATGGACAAGTTTGTGGTCTTCCTGGCATTTTGGAACTAATTAGACATAATGATGTACCAGGCTACATAACACACATTTTGTAGGTGACATAAAGTACTGTGTCGAAGTCTTAGGCAGTCAAAGAAAATGCTGTTTATCTGTACAGTAAGTCTACATTTCTGCAGAAAAATACCCACACAATTTAACATTAGAATATATGCAGATTAATATTAGCACAATAAAAACTAACAATTTATCCCCAGAAAAATCATTGGACAGCTAGAACCACTTCAGTTCCTAAATCTCTCCTCAGAGGCACCTCAGCCGTTCCATGTATTTGCTACATTTCATGACCAACTCAAGTAATTAAGATAATTTAAATGACTCAATGAGGTATTAATTAGCCAAAGTGTGTGTGTGCTAATGGTCAAGTAAAAAAATATGTTGGTGTTTTGCACTTTTGCTGCAAATACTATAAGTGAGGTTTTGAAATGGCTAACCTAACACACTTTGACAGGTAAAATCTGTTTTACACCAACATGAACATCATTTAGGCATCAGTTTCTCTAACTGCCTAAGACTTTGCACGGTACTGTATGTAGGATGACAGAGGTGGCTTTGAGTGACCGTAACACTCTTTGTGACTCTATCTTCACCCAGAACTGTGAGCAGAGGCAAGTCACCCACTTCCAGTACCTCAGCTGGCCGGACTACGGTGTTCCCACCTCCGCCGTCACTCTCATCGACTTCCTGGGCACTGTGAAGCGACAGCAGAGGGCAGCTGTCAAGGCCGCCCAATCACGGTGGAACCTTAGTGAAGGACCGCCCATGGTCGTCCACTGTAGTGCTGGGATTGGCAGGACAGGTATGGGAGAATCTCTGCATTTGCACACATTGCATAGAACACTTTGTTTTGGTCAGCAGGTGGCGTAGCGGTTAAGGAATTGTAGTTGTACTCCCTGTTGTACTCTGGGGATCTCTCTAAAAATACTCTAATTTTGGTTTTGATAGTAGTCTTACATATAAATGGATTTCCAAGTTTTATGTTACCATTTCAGTTTAACGCTTAGAACCTGACAAAAGCTAAACGCGTTAATTTTCGCACCCATAGATCACAGGCTCCTAACTTTGGATATGTATAACACACAGGCATGAATCGCATGTCGTTAGAATCAGAACTTACTCAATCCGTTCGTCCAAGTTGCAACATTGTGCTTTGAAGCATTCCAGAGTAATCCTATGTGCAATGAGGCATGTATTTTAAACATTTTCCACCAAAATATCCCTAATAAACCATAAAACATCTATTATTCATATTAGATGGAAAACAGCTTCTGCAATGATCCACACACTACCTTTCTGGGGGGGAAAAAATCTATATTTTTTGCAATATTTATTCACATGCTCTGTCAAAACAGTTGAAATAGAAGGCATGTAAGTGGAACACCTCCCATATATAAACGCAATGACATGCTACAGCATCGGTTTGTTTGAGGCAAAAATGCCGACTAAGTTTCATTCTCAGATATCACTTTGCCAGTCATGGCGTATATAGGCAGAAAAACAAGAAAGAGAAACATTCCGCATTAGACTCAAAAGCCATCTGCTGTAACCGTGTTTATCCACTGGATCATAAACTAAGCAGTATTTTTCTATTTCAGTTTCTTTCAGATGTTATAAAATAATAAATAATAAAAAAAAAAACATGTATTGCTGTCTATCATATAACTTCAAGTTACCAAATGGATGCAAAATCAGAGATATTCATTACAGCCTGGCACTAACCATGTATCCTTTCACAGTACTAAGCCATAGAAAGGTCCCCAATGAAGCCCCTGCATTCCCGCATCATAGAGACTCTAATCTCAACATTTATAAGATATTTGTACTGCCTGCAAATTTTTATATTAATGAGACTTAAAAATTGAGAAATTTCAATAAGCGCAAATAGTTTTTCCCTAATATAAAGGATGATATCAAGACTGTGTCAGCATTTACACTTCAAATTATAGCACATCTGAGCAGTTCAGAATGTCCTGAAAACAAAACCGTAAAGCATATGTGGCTGACTCATGTACATACAATGTAACAGGCGTAAAGTCAAAGGGATAGAAAAATGCTCAAAAATGGATAGGATTTAAAGGATTAATTAGTGTTCAGATTATGATTTGTATTGTGAAGTTGTTAATGTGATTTGGATTTCAATGTAATTTGGATTTGCATCAATTTAGTGTGGAAACTTTGGCTCTAAAGTCCCACAATGCCTTGTCCTGGGATAAGTCTCTGACTTTTTCAGGTCTCTATGACTGACCACCAGCCCTTTATAGACTTACAACCCCCCCATTTGTCTAAGCATCTCTCCTGTGCCCTCTACCCCCACCCACCTGCAGGGACCCTGTGTGCCCTGGACATCTGCCTGTCCCAGCTGCAGGATGTGGGCACGCTGAACATCTGGCAGACGGTCCACCACATGCGCACACAGCGGGCCTACAGCATCCAGACAGCAGAGCAGTACTACTTCTGTTACTCTGCCATCCTGGAGCACGCTCGGGGGCGGGACCTGCTCTGAGGCAGTCGGTGAGGCCGCTGCACTAAGGGGAGGCTGGGCATCCGGCCGGGCCAGCAGCGACGGTGCCGATGGGATCCCCAACTGAACAAAACATAACTGACTGCATACAGAAAGGTGACCTTCCTCTCTGGATCCCAGTTGGGCTGGTGACAAGACCACCAGTTAAAGGTCCATGACCTTCACTTGAATGAGAACACCCAGACTTCATTAGGCTCTCTCTCTTTCCCCCCCCCCCCCCATTATTATAGTCCGAGTATTCTGAGTATTCTGTGAAGTACTGTACAGCTAATTATTGAAGTGTTTAAGGTACTCATTGCAGTCTAATTGGTCTCTATCATGGTAAACACGCACCTTCACATCATCTCAGCGGGGGGTTGCTTTCCAGTTCCTGCAAAGCTGTTGCTGGATAATGTGTCAATATTGAGTCTTTAGCTGGGTGCTTTATCCTGATACCCTGATACAATGTCCTGATAATTGTCAGCAATTAGCACTTCATTTCAAGACCTTAAAGATCTGATTAGTTGTGGCCCGCTCCAGGCCAATGGGGAGACCTGACCGAACTTGTGAAGATACCTCTTTTTTTTTTTTCCCCCCAGTAAAATAGTTGACTGCTTAATATGCAGGAAGCATTCAAGGGAAAACTGGGTCAGGATTTTCTGTTTATCAGCAGTGTCATGATATTTTCACCGACGACAGCAGGGAAAAACTATGCTGAAATGAAGGAGGGAGTAAAGCAGCTGTATTGTTTTGTATGTATGTATCTATGTATGTAAATCCTTGCAGATGGTTTTGTGAGCACATTCTCCTGTCCACCGCCTAGCCAATGCTATATATATAAGGGCCTGAATGTTATAAGTACAATCCAAGTATTTTTAAAAGCTTCCTATCCAAAGATTGCTTAATGGTTTCAGTAACCAGTGCATACTCAATGCATTATGTCAAAAATGCCTTCTGTCCCACACTGATCACATTCCACGACAGTTCTGTGACCAGCCCATTTCCATAAAGACCATTTCGTTTGCTCTTGTTTTTAATTTTGAAATATTTTTAAATAGATTTGTGAATAAGTAACCAGTGTCTTGCCGGGGTAATAACATTGTAGCAATAGAATTCAACTGATCTTGAATTTGTGTTTGTTAGTACAGCTATTTTGAGACCACCTCCCCTGAATCAGGAAGTTGCTCATTCACCAAGGTGACCGAGGCTGTGGTTATGGGTCTTCCTCTCCTGCCAGAGGAGCTGTGGATGGCTGTCTTCAGAGGGACCGTCCAGTCCCTTTTCGAAAGATTTAAAACCTCCTGGGATCTCTCTCTGGCTCTTGGCAGCAATGCATTCCATTCTGTCATTCCTACCTGACATTCTGCTGCTGAATTCATATTCAAATTGCTTGTAGTTCTGTAGCTCACAGAACTTTTCTTTGACTCCTCTGCACTCATATTTCATCTACAGCACAAACTGAGTAAATCCCATTTTATCATTTACTTCACGGGTTTTCATTCTAATTTTTACTTAACTTATATTTTAACATTTTCTGGTATAACTAATATTTCTGTATGATCATTATGAAACAATCAAATTTGATATACTTGCTTTATATTTACCCTTGTATTTTTATATGGTTTTTGTTTTATGGCAAAGTTCTTTGTTTTGTCAGTAATATTTAAGTAGTAGGTCCTCATTGAACTGTCTAATCCCCAAAAGAAGTCGAAAAATAAGGTTTAAACTCATTAAATGGAAAAGTTATCCCTTCACACTCGTTTTGTTCCTTTTCTGTCTCAAATGACTCTTAAGGTGGCTTCTACCAAATCTTCAAAACATTTTGTTCTTTGATGTTATGCCTCAGCGAGTCCCTACTTTGTCGTGCATGAACTGAAGTATATTTCCCAGTGCAAATACCAGCATTACTACTGCGAGATCTTTGGCTTACCTTTTAATAACATCTGAAGATACAATTAGATGTATTCATTCACTCACATTTCAGTATCTATTTGTGTAATCAAAGTCAAGTATGAATTATTTTTCTCTGATGTGTGATGAGCTGTTACCAAGCATTCAGATTTATAAAAGGTTATATTTACTGAATTTATCTAATCACACATTTCTGCCATTTAAATTGGATATCATTGGACTTTATTCCACTTGCAAGGTGGTTGCAAAATGAACTTCAAATGGTATTTTTTGTTTAGTTGTGGTTTCAGTGTTCTATGCTGTAGGCCAATTCAATTATAATTAAAGGATAAATTTGGAATCTATTTCTCAGTTCACTTTGGACCTGAGCTGACCCCAATTTTGCAGTGGATTCTTTAGATGTAATCATCAGACAAGGGGGTTCGATCCAACCAGTCACTAGTACTTGGTAGTAGTTTGGGTGGCTTACAGCATCCTGTGAATCAGTTTCCTGATTTTCTCAGTCAAGCAGGGAGAGTGATGACCTCTCTATTATCCAAGACAACAGGGGACCATCTCCATGCATCATATGTTCCGATATCTGATCACTCGTCCGAAGGTCAGTCCTTATATACATCTCCAAGCATGTTTTGAAGCTAAAGTTGATGGATGGATGCTCTGTGAATGTTCCTAAGTGGTTTTAGCAATTCAGATCGGTCACCCCCCACCCCACAGGGTGATTTGCTGTAGACTGTAATGGCCAAAGGTAGGGGCCACCTTATGTAGCACTGCGTGGAGCAGCACAGCTGCCTCAGTCTGTAGCTGAAAGTGCTGATTACGCGCAGAGGGTGGGGTTCTGTAGTATCTCCTCCCCCACTATCTCCAGTGAATCCAGACTGACTCCTAGAACTGAGCCGGATTTCTGGATCAGTTTGAGCTTTTTGGCATCATCTGCACTGATGCTATTGCCCCAGCACACCACTGCATGAAAGACTGCACTGGCAACAGCAGACGGGTGGCCGGCATGTGGGAGTGACCTGCACACACACCCAAGGGCCTCGGTCTCCTCGGGAAGCACAGGAGACTCGAACCCTCCTATTCCACAGCCTCCGCGTTGATCCTCCACTCCTGCCTGCACCCCAAGGTCTTCAGCAGCGCCACGTCTTCACTGACAATAGCCTTCATGAAGTCCACCACCGTCTCCTTCGTCTAACTCAGCGGTGGCCAATCTCATCCGCAAAGGGCCAGTGTGCTTGCAGGTTTTTGTAGTAACCTTTAGGTCAGCTGTTCAACCCAGATGTGAGGACTCTTCAGCCAATCGGTCCTCTAATTACTAATCTAATTAGGGAGTTGCAGAGAAAACCCACATACACACCGGCCCTTTGCAGATAAGAATGGCCACCCCTGGTCTAACTGATGCCGGGATGCAGATAGTTCAGTTTGATTGGCTCCACAAGCTCCTTTAGAAGGCCCAGTATTCATCCTCCTGCTGCATTACTGTGCTGTCAGAGAATTTCTGCAGGTGGCGCGAGTCCTTCGTCTAACTCGGGGGGTGTGCAATCATCAGCAAAGGGCCGGTGTGCTTGCACGTTTTTGGGATAACCTGTAGGTCAGCTGTTCAAACCCAGGTGTGAGGACTCTTCAGCCAATCAGTCCTCTGATTAGTAATCTAATTAGGGAGTTGCAGCGAAAACCCGCATATACACCGGCCCTTTGTGGATGAGATTGCCCACCCCTGGTCTAACTGATGCTGACGTGTGGATGGTGAAGAGGAAGGGGAATGGTACGGTTCCCTGTGAGGCCCATGTGCCTTCATAAGCCACACAAACTGCCAGTTAGTCTGTTATCCTGGCTGTGGTGAATGTCTCCCAGCACCTTGGCTTGAATGGTGTTGAAAACATTAGTGAGATCAAGAACATGCTCCACACCATGCTTCCCTGCTTATCCAAATGGCAGTAGACTCGCTTCGGCAAGTAAATGACAGCATCATTCACCCCAGTGTGGTCCTACTAGTCAGATGGCAGCAAGTCCTGTGCTGTTTTGACCAGGACATGAAGGTCGTTCAGAATAAGCCTTCATTATGTTTGAGGTTATAACCACTGGTCAATATTTATTAACGACTTTTGCCTGTCCCTTCTTAGGAACCAGGACCAGCCAGGATGGTTTCCATATAACGGGAACAGCTTTCTGGCCAAATGCAGAGACCAAGAAACGCAGTTGTTCATGATGACCCTCAACCTTTTTACCCACTTAAGAAATTTGCTTATAGCAACAACAGGTCAAACAACTGTGTACCCCAGGGCCTGAACTCTGTTCAAAAGGCTAATATTTAACTGTGGTGCTTTCTGCTGGCCTTGGCGAGAATATACAGTAACATAAATGGCTACACCCCTTCTAAACAGAAAGACACATTTCTGTTACATACATTACAAATGATGGGAATGTAACACACCTAAAAATTAACTATGTACTCAGCAGTAATACAGAAGGATATCTTGACAGTATTTCTAAAATAAATACATCATTTTGTATTCTTATTCTCTTCTCTGCAAGACAAAAGTCTTAAGTCTCCAGACAATTTTCTCAGATGTGGCGCCGATGTCAGCAGTAAATTTGGAATGATTACATTCACACCTGTTGGTGTTTCATGGTTCAGCAGACACCGATCCACTCAGTTACCCTTAGCCGCAGCAGACAATTTTTGGAATTATGTAATTTTGGTGGTGGTTGTACTCATTTTTGCAACAGCCTTTTATCATTTTGTGTTTTTTTTTTTTTGTTTCAATTTCTTATTGATATACTTAATTCAAAACGGAAAGATCATATTTACACAGCCAACATTTAGAATTTGTAAAGAGAGATGACTGATTTTAACTTTATTAGAAGTGTTTAAAAGTATAATCTTGATTTTACAGAAACATCGGGCTTCTCAAATTTCTCCAGAGAGTAGACTTACTATAATATTTTGCTGTACTTAGCATTTGTACTTGTACTAATGTACACATAGGGGGTTTTCATCAGCATAAATAATGGGACAGCAACTAAACGCAGAGCATAATTTTTCTCGTTTGCATTACGTGATGTGTTTAAGAAATTGACTTAATAATATTGCTTTTATACATTCTCCCTGCTCGCAAGTAAAATATTCGCACAGCCGCTTAACATGTCTTACATACATACAAACATACACACACATACATATAAAAATGCTATTTAAACAGCTTCTATTTCAGAGTATAACGCAGCTTTTTTTCCCCAGCCCTAGTCGTGGAAGTTGGCGGGTCGTATTTAAATTTAAATGACGTAAAAAGCTCTGTGCGCCAATGCAATGGGAAGGGGGCGTGTCTAACAATTTTGTTACAAACACGAATCCGGAGAGTGAAAATTCTTTTTCCTTGGTATGTAACAGCTGGTCGAAATCGTATTTATTTATTTAAAAGAAATCCGTTCGGTGTTTATTAACAAATTAGCGTGCTTATAGCGATTAAAAAGTTCGTGCCAAAGTGATTCATCCGATCTTTGCTTTCTTGCATGTAACTGATGTATTTGATGATTGCAATTCAGAAGCAGCAAAGCTTAGCTAACTATGTCAGTTAAATGTGAACGTATTAGCAGAAAGATAACATTGTATTCCATTATTGAAGTTCGGGGATTTATCGAATGTATGCATGTACATTTTTACGATTATAGACAATATTGATGCAGATCTTTAGGACACTTGCACAGATGCGTTATATAGCTTGCTAAGTACTGGTGGCTAGTTAACGGATCGATCGGTGGAACGGATTTTCGTAATTATATTCTGAAAATCTAAGCAAAATAATTTGTTTAGTATATTAGCACGCTGCTGCCCCGTGGACAGCCCCAATCCACTATGCTTGTTTATTTTTTAACCATACTGTCTTTGTTTGTACTACCGGAGTCGTGAAATTTTAATCGGCTTCCTTCACTTAGATGCGTGTCAACTGAATTTTTGTCGAAACGCCTGCAATTGTTTGTAATAGGCATAGAGCAGGGCGCGTAATGCGTGTTGCATTGCTACAGCCCGTGTTGCGTCTAACGATGAGAAATCTGAGCTCAACAAAGACATGGAGTCCACTGTAATACCAAGATATGCATGTGACCATTTGCCGCGTCTGCGGAGCGCCCGTTAACTGGCTACCCAGATAAATGCATTGCCGAAAGAGAGCAGACCAAAACCGGATAGCGAGCCGCTGACTAACGAGGTAGCATCGATTGCGTTGCAACGTAACCACTTTGGGGGGAACTGGAGAACGAAATCCGTGTCTGACCGCTTTAAGTTGAACAATGGTTGCTTGCTAAGGCACATAGCTGGTTACACACAAATTAATACTGAAGACGTCACCCTCCGAAGCGACTGTTTGCTCGGTTTCCTAAATTTGTAAAGCGGGGTGTTGCATACGTTATATGCTGGTCTGTCTAGTTTGGCTGAACCCTGCTCGTAAACCAGACATTTTAACGTTGGCAGATCTGAAACGAACCGATCGCCGTCAGACCTTGATTGTGTGGCGTCTGCAAGACGTCTGAAGATGTTTGAGTCTAAAAAGATATGGTTGGCAAAAAGGGGGGCGGTCCTGCCAAATATGAATTCACAGAGCTCGTACGAAAGGAGCGTTGCGTACAACAATTGTAGTCCTGAGGGTTTGCCTACAGTTAAAACGACAGTCCGACCGTACAGCAGGGAATCCCGTGCAAGTATTTGGCTCCGCCCCTCGTGGGCGATGGTTTATTTTAAGGGTCCATCTCTGGGCGGTACCAAATCAAGGGTCGGTTAGCAATTGGCTGTTGTGAGGGAGGGACCGCCCACAACTAAAGTCCCGCCTTTAAACAGGCGTCGAAAAGG